TACATATTACTTCTCTTCTTCCTGCGTCATCTAAGTTTTAACCACTTACTTACACCTCTGAATGATGGTAACCCTTTTAGCAGATTCAAGGGTGATCCTTAAGTGAGTCACACCTGCTCACACGAATATGCTCACATGTCCTTGGGCTCCTCACGTCATGCCGTAACTCTTATTGTTAACACTTCAACACAATGCAGGCGATGTGTATGTGTTATGCATACCCTAAGGACAGAGAAGATGAGAGTGTGTGAAATGTGTGTGTGTGCAAGTATAAGATATTGTTCTGTCTCTACACTCTTCCTTTGAAGGCCACACTGCCCTCAAGCTGCTGTTTCTCAACCGCATTCTTCTCACACTGTTTTTCAAGGGCCGTAGGTGACACATGTGCACTTTGTTGTATTATGTGTGATTTAAATGAATAACAATAGTTTACATTCTTTACATTAGTTAGGTGCTTGATTACTAATGGCGCTTGTTAAGCCAAGCATCACTATTACTATTGCTTGTGTTTATGGTTAGGGGTGTGTAAATCATCTTGCACCATCTGTGTTGCTGACATGAATGATACATTAAAGGTGCACTATCACTCTTCTAAGCAGTCAGGCTTACTAGAAGAAGGTGATACTTTGTCAAGCAATAAACTCTCTTAGAGTTACGGCCCATTCACACCAAAGACGAAACTATAATGAGAGCGATAACTTTCTAATTCTAAGTCCACACCACAGCTTTAACAATAAAGGCACACAGAAACAACATTGTTGGAATCACTTTCTGAACATTTTTTTCCGGCTGACGAACTATAAAAACTTGGAGAGCCAATCAGAATCCACATGACTTTAGCATTTAATGCAGCAGATGACAAAACTGCAGAACATGCTTGTAATAAACAGAACGCTATCGTGCGTTGGTGTGAATGCTAATATAGTCATCGTTTTAGTTATCGTTCTTGGTGTGAACAGGCTTTTAAGGTGTGGTCACATTAGCAAAATTATACAGACAAATGAGATTCAGCTATTGTCAATAGTGTAGGGATGAATGAAGCAGTGCTGCTCAAACAGAAGTCACTTTCAAACCTAAATTGTGAAAACGTGAAGGGGAAATCTTTCACCCTCATGCAATATTCCTGAAAATCTCTCTAAGCATCTAAGCAAATGCATATGAATGCCCTATCAACTATTATAGACAGTGTAGTTTTCTGAGTTTGAACTCATCTGACTGACTGTTGGCTTGTTTGAGAAAGTGTGGCATACACACCAGCAGTAACACTGGATGAATGTTACACACATGTCACTGTAGTGTGTGTAAGTCTGCCGGTGGTTGTTTGGATGTGGCTGGATTCTTTATGGCATTTTTACCATAAAATGTCTGTGGGTTAATGGGTTTAACTGCTTTAGAGGAATTACAGATGCCACCATTACCTCCATCATTAATTATGAGATGCTGTAAGAAGGAGATTTGTGGAATAAAAGTAAGATAGATATAGTGAGAAGTATGGGCCATATAATTATTAACGCATAATAATGCAAAGGGGTGAATTCAGAGATAGGCCGGATTTGAAAGAGCTGTGGAGAGAGGAAGTCATGAAAACGAGGTTTGGAGGTTCTGACTGAGCTCTCTGATGTTGGCCAGTGTGGGTTCGTTTGATCAGCGCTCGCTGGATTCCAGATCTTTACTCACACACTCTCTCCAAAAGCTCCTGTATATGCTGAGCCCTTTTGTTTCTCCTCCATCTTTAACTAAGGCCCTGGAATCTCTGATCCAAGAAAAAACACTCAAGAAAGGTTATAAAGCTGTCAGATTTGTGGTTGTCTGCATGCCTCGCTATGTTCGTGTGTCTGTTTCAGAGCTCCAGGGTCCATCATCTTCTGGCTTCTCCTCGCTCGTTCAAAAACAAATATTTCTGCTATAGCCACTCTAGCTAACCAGCTAAGACTGAGCTTGTGTCATGTGAAGCTGGTCAGTGAAGTAGCCTGCAATGATACACTAGATGACCAAAAATGCATGGCAGAGTAAAAACCAATGCTAAATACAAATAATAAAATGCAACCAATCATTTAAAGATGTGCAATTTGGAGCTATATTAATTTTTATTATTTATCATATTTACCGTTTTCTACTATAAAGAACTGTTTGTTCAATGAAAAGGTTCTTCATGGAAACATAGATGTCTTTACAAAGAGGCTGCTTCACACACAAACTTAGATAATATGTGAAAAAGAGTCAAGTTATAACAGAATTTAAGCATATTCACTTAACCAAGTATTTCTGGAATTTTTCTGGCTTGATGAAGGTAATTTCCTTGATTGTTGTTGCACCGTATCACTTCCTTTGCCCTAAAAAAAAACATGGCAAACTGTGTGATTTTAAGACATGCTGTGTTACTGGCAATACTCATCTGTGTTCAAACTCAGCAGATGTGCATGAAATGACAGGCGAAGGAAATGCGTTTTTACTGAATTAAAGATGAATGCACACCTCCTCTCGGTATTTCCTGTCATCCTGTTTTTCATCTACACAAACTCAAACAAGTAAACAAGATTCAGACAGGTTTTGTAGCCTTTTTTTCAGATGTTTGTAAATATTTTATTATATTTATGGCCAGAATATATACGTATGTATAATTTATTATTACTACTTTTGTAAATGCTTGTTTACATATTTTACATTCATATTTTTAAATTAAATTTTATATTTTATTCCTCTTTTTGTGTAGATGATGTGTTCTCAGACATTCCTGATCCGGCATGGATGGCTCGTCTTTCTCTTCCTCTGACAACCGACTACCATGAAAACCTGTTTATCCCGGATGGGCCACCATCCCCTGATGCCCACTGTCCCACGGCTGATCTTGATGATTCCACTTCCTTCTCTACTTTTGGTAAAACCCCAGAGAAGGCCCCGCTGGGTGGCAGAGCTCTGATTTCAGAAGTGAGCTCCCTGTTTGAGATGCTGTTGACACAGAAAGCCGATGCCCAGTCGTGTCCACCTGCTGACATGCTCTACAGACTATCAGCAGCTTATAGACGTTCACTCGGCTTAGACACACCTGCAAACGGAGGTGCTGCTCACACACGCCAACAAGGGCAAACCCCTATAATGCAATATGCCAACCCTATGCCATAACAGCAAATAATGTTTCATTTCTGGTGCCAAATCATTTCAGGTTCCAAACGAGCCTCAGGAACACTTAGAATGACAAAACATCTTATAGCATCGTTTTTTTTTTGGTCTGGCTGGAACAGGCTATGCCCATAAAAACACAAACTTTTATATTTTTTTAGAAGACAAAACTTCATATTGGTAGTGCATTATGACTGAAAAAATATTATTTGTTTTGATATATCCTTTTGCGAGAACTAATTGAGCTCTGTGAACTGGTGCGGTTCATGCAGTGCATAGCAGAAATGAGTCTGTCTCCTCTTTAGGAAGTAGCTGCCCAAACAAGTCTTTTCTCTCAGAAGAAACCCAGTAAATCTTCTGCTAGTCTTCCTCAAGCTGCAGGATTTCCTCTGCAGGTCTGACAGCGCACACTGATGGCTAGTTTGGTTATTTTTTATGCCGGTTCTCTAATGTAAATATGAATTTGTATAGTTACAGGGCATGTAATAATCAGATCATTTAGAAGTAAGCCTAACACTGTTTGTAAGAACTGCAAAGCACTGATGATAAAATTCAGTTATGATCTGAATGTAACGGTTCTTCTTTTTCTTTGAATGTTATAAGTTATTGATATCAAAGCAAAGATGTATATATTTTTTCAATGTCATTTGGTATGTGTAGTGCTGTTTTTGTATTCATAATTGACATCACGTTTTCTTTTTGTAAACTATATACGTGAAATAAACTATTCAAAAAAACGTACTGTACTGTATTTATTTAGAAGGTTACGATGAAAACGTATTTTAACCCTAAAAACCCCATGAATTCAAAAAAATGAAAAAGGAAATAAATCATAAGAATACATGAAAGGCACTGTCATGCAGCTGGTCTGATTATCAGCACGGTTATGATTCTCTGAGAATATTACAGCATAATTGTGTGACAGAATAAACTAATTTGTTGAACTGGAACAATTTATTGAACAAGGGTATGAATACTATGATATAAAGCTCACACTCGAGGAAAAAACACCTCAAGTGCCAAACTGAGGGAAAACATGCAGTTCGGTGCAGATGTTGCACATTTATCTGACAAAAAATAAAAGATTAAATTTTGATAGCTTTACATGCAAATCATTGACTTTTTTTATAAGTATAAAAAAAGGCTACTTACATAAAATGCATATAAATATCAGTCACTCTGTATCTCCCAATAATTTCTATCTTTATATATATATATATATATTTCTATTATAATCATAGTAAAGTCATAAAACATTTAAATGCTCAGATTTATGATCACAGCTCTGTAGTTTTTATGGGAGCAAAACAATGCAATAGTGATTGAGAGATGAACAAACATTCTAAGCTTGATGTCTTTTTTTACTTTTTTTTTTTTTTAAATTTACTAAAGTGTATACTTTTGTAGCAAGTAAAAGTCTATCAATCAGACAACTGAAGGCATGTAGTAGATTGTGTGCAATAAGTATATATATATATATATATATATACATACACACACACACACACACACACACACACATATACACATACATATACACAGAAGCTGGATTCAAAAATCTGAGGGATCATGTTTGAACAGGCTTTAGGCTGGTAGTACTCAATGCCAGTAGTGTTTGATAAGAGGTTCCAAGTAAGCAGACAGACGATGATGGACTCCCCTGCACAGTCTTAGCTTCTTCCAAAATGTCATCACCCTAACACCTCATGAAACTCTTCCTGGCAATGGCTATTACTGTCCAGCTCACAGGAGGTATTAAAGCACTGTTCTCAGTAATGCTCTGTCAAACACTGCATTGTAAAAACAGACATCCTGAATAGAACACAAACTCCTGATCACTTCTTGCAAGCGCACATTCAGTGAATACATAAAACAATAACTAAAAATCATTTAAACTTTATTGGAATCTATTTCACATTTGTTGTTATGGTCCACAAAAGGATAAAAAAAAATTTTTTAAAAAGACGTCATGGGACACTAACAAAGCTCACCAGCCTACAATCAAAGCTTAAAAAGTAGAAGAGCTCAAATCAACCCGAATCTGCCAAAATCTGTCTTAAAGCAATAACTTTAACAAAAGAGAAGTGACCGATTTCAAAGTCTGGTATACTGTATGTATCGGAGGAATTCATCACTACAATGATGTAGGAGACAGTGAATGAATATCTATGTATACACAAGCACAATTTATTACTGACATATTTGCTGTGGAAAAATGATTGCATCCCGTTTTAAATCTCTCCTGAAGGTTCTCCATTTCTATTACAGGCTGTAGAATTTGAGACTTCTGTCCATGCCAGTGGACGCCAGGAACTGAGCATGTTCGCCAAAAGCCACACCGGTAACCAGACCAGAGTGATCTACAAGAGAAAGGAAGAGAGATTAAAACATAAGAATGCATAGCAAAGAAAAGTCTGTTTGATAGCTCAGAACAAAACATTCTAGACAAATAAGATAGCAAACCTCACACAGCATAAAAGTACACTCAGAATGGCATTTCATGTATAATATTACTAATCAAAACACAAAATTCTCACCAGAGAAGTTGAGGACCTCAGACCACTGTTTGCAGATATAAACTCTTATGTCTGATCCACCAACAGCCAGATATGTTCCACTCTGGTCGAAGACCAAAGACTTCACCTACAGGAGGAAGGCAGAAATATTAGCCATGCTTTCTGTAAAAGCAGTAAAACAGTGTCACACGGATGAAGAACACATGGCAGTCATATCAGTGGCCTATGCAAGAAGACCTCATAATTGTTGTCCAAAGTGATTGTCTTGAAGTTCTTCAGCTTCCTCAAATCCCACAGCTTGAGTGAACTGTCCTGAGCACCTACAGGTCAAACAAAAAAGGTAGAAAGAGTTTAAAAAGACAATTAACATTCAGTATGTTGAAATGTTGATTTAACCGCACTAACACTATTGGATGAGAAAGAAATTTGAACTGAATTGAGCTGAATAACGACACTAATTTCAGCTCTAAAGCAGCTCTACAGAAGGCATTAGAGTAGTTTTATAATTAATTCTGCAACATTAACAGTTATTTTTAGAGTTGCGTACCGAAACCCGGTACCAATACGGCACCGGTACCCATGCAACCAGTATGTACTAGAACCAAATCAGAACGCAGATTTCGGTGCCATGCCTGAGCCATCGATTGAAATATTTGTCCTCTGGTTCTCCAAAACGGACGTAAGAAGCATCATTACCGGCACCGCACGTGAAAAATAATTTCCCGACTGAGAAAATGCAGGTGAACTCAAGTCGGAAAGCTCTAATAATACTTCTCACACACACACACTCTCTCTCACTCTCACACACTCTCTCACTCTCACACACACACACTCTCTCACTCTCAC